AAAGCGGGGGGGCAGGAAAACAATGCTGTGCCCGGGGACAGACTGGCCATAGAGGGGGGGCAGGTAAACAATGCTGTGCCCAGGGACAGACTGGCCATAGGGGGAGGGGGGGCAGATAAACAATGCTGTGCCCGGGAACAGACTGGCCATAGAGGGGGGCAGGTAAACAATGCTGTGCCCGGGGACAGACTGGCCATAGAGGGGGCAGCTAAACAATGCTGTGCCCAGGGAAAGACTGGCCATAGAGGGGGGCAGGTAAACCCTGCTGTGCTCGGGGACAGACTGGCCATAGAGGGGGTGCAGGTAAACAATGCTGTGCTCAGGGACAGACTGGCCATAGAGGGGGGCAGGTAAACAATGCTGTGCTCGGGGACAGACTGGCCATAGTGGGGGGCAGGTAAACAATGCTGTGCTCGGGGACAGACTGGCCATAGAGGGGAGGGTCTAGTAAACAATGCTGTGCTCGGGGACAGACTGGCCATAGAGGGGGGCAGGTAAACAATGTTGTGTTCGGGGACAGACTGGCCATAGAAGGGTGGGCTGGGGATAGTGTGACCTGTACCATCTCCCCCCTCCTCACAGTGAAACCCAGTGTCACAGGATGTCAGAGGGAGAAATAATGAGTTATCACAGCTTAATTAATTAATCTGTAATAAAGACAAAGATTGAATACACTGTGTGCAGGGGATTACTCACTAAATGCTGAATTGTGATGAATTAAAATCTCAATAGCCAGACTTGGGATAGCATTGCCAAGTTATAATTATGGCTTAATTGGGAATTATTCTTTATATCAGATAAGCTATATTTTGCACAGTTTGTTTTAATGAATAAACAACGTTTACAGCGTAAGATCCTACGATGGTTTATATGATAAATCAGAATTGCTTTCACTGGTTTCGGTTTGTTAAGAGTTCCCTGCAGAAACTTGAACTTAACGAGTGAGGATCTATTTTTTTTTTTTTTCCTGTTATTTTGCACAGTGTATACAGAGAGTTTGTACTTATTCATGTTTAAATTCAAAAGAGGAGGGTGGGAAGCAGCAAATTGGAAGGCAGTAAGGGCACAGGGTAAACCACGATAGATAAAGCAAGGCATGGTTTGAAATAATGAGAAGTGTTGCGTGGGAGGTATAGTCCAAGTACCACTGTTCAGTTGGTGTTTTGTTTTGTTATTTTGTCAATGAAAAGTTCACGATTTAATCATTTTCTATTTTAGGTGCTGTATGAGTTAAGAAACTGAAGAAAATGAAAATCTTTAAATGAATTTGACAATGGAGGCTAATCAGAATTATCAACCCAAGTCCTTTGGTAAGAAACTGTTAGAACTTTCATTAAGTGAAAACACGTTATTGCTGTGGTCAGACTAGTAGTTATAGTTAGGTTTGCTGCTGGAACATATTTTTTTTTATCTAAGCTTTGAGGGTAATGTCAGGCTGTCCTATTTAAACATTAGCATAGATTTCCATAGTTCTTACTTTCTTTCAAGTCCACGCATTGCAACAGTGAGTTCTCCCGTTGGTTTTGAATATTTTCCATTTGACATTATCCATTCAATATCAGGAGATTTGCATCATACCAGGAAGGAGGGACACTTTTTCTTTGCTGTTCTTCATAGATATTATTATTCCCCCTGGATGCTCTACGACATGGGGAAAAGAAAGTAAATAGCCCTGTATCCATGCTAAATGTATAACTAGCGCTTCTGTTAGCATCACACTTTTTCTCTTTTGAAGAGCTTTGTCAAATATTCAAAATCAAAATATCCATCCAGTGGTTGCACTCATAAATTCAATTGGGTTAATTCATGAAGATATTGCAGTGGATAAAGATCTAAATTATTATTACTATCGCCATTTATATAGCGCCAACAGATTCCGTAGCGCTATACAATATAATTAAAGGGGGGATTTAACTATAAATAGGACAATTACAAGAAAACCTACAGAAACGATAGGTTGAAGAGGACCCAAACGAGCTTACAGTCTATAGAAGGTGGGGTGTAAAACAGATTAGGACAGGAAATAGCAATCAAACAAGTTGGGAGTGAAGCAGGGAGTAGCGTGCTGCCCTTTAGGAGAGAGCAAGAGACAGGTATGTGGGGATATTTATGGGATGATAATATTAAACAGTCGAGAATTACCCACTATTTCAATTCTCTTAGATCTTAGAGATCGTTATCATGTAAGTGAAATGTATTCCATACAAATAAAATCACAATTTGTTATAAAAATAGATTTAATTTATTGTGACAAATAAAATAAAAATAATATTAGGCAACATGCATGAGAATAATCAGTGAATATTTAGTATAACATAAGTATGCAATACAATGAAATGGCTATACACGTTCCAATGGCTAACAGCATCACCTGTCACTTAATAAGATTTATGAGGGTACTTCACAGACAAAAAGTAAAGCTTCACGCAGCGAAAAGCCATAAAACCTTGGCTAACAGTTAAATCAACTGAGTAACCCTTTCAATGCTGGCTAGATCCTCCTTGGCATATAATATCCTATTATCATGTAATTTTCAATTAAAATTCACACCAGCTCATTAATCATTTCCTGAAACCATCCAATAAGAATAATCTACCAGATTTTTACAAAAGCCGAATTTTAATTTGCCTAAAAAGATATCTTATCTTATTTTAGAGCAAATCAATACACCTGGATAAAAACAACGGTATGCTAAAACGTGATACTATCACATTAATATATAATTATTCTTAATTCCACCTGCAGAATGGAATGTTTATAACTATATATTCTTTAATTAATTAAGATTTCTAAATATTGAAACCTGACCGTGATTTATCCAGTCATATATCATGCTATTAGTAAATTTTAATTAATTTTAATTAATTAAATAAAACCAGCATAATTACCAGTTATGTAGATATTCTCATCAGATGAGTAGGTAGTCCCAGAAACTTGATTGGTTGTATGGAGGTACGTGAGTAATAGAGAAAGGTGGTGTTGGTTAGAAAGTATCAGTAAATTTTAAGTGTCAAGGAGTTTAAGAGTTGAGTGTTAGTCCCAGAGAGTGTCCTGAATCTCTCTCTGCATGTCTGAATCTGAATGCCCAAACTCCACCAACTAACTTCTCTCTTCCCTTTGTCCTAACTTTTAAAGGGCCAGACTCTCTGTACGTCATTAGTTGATAAGGCCAATAGGAAACTGTAGGTGTGGTCATCCTGCAGATCGCAATTTAGGTAATTGATCCATTGCCTCACTAAACCTTCCTATCCAGGAAAAGAGTTAACTTTTCCTGATGACGATTTTGACGTCATTTGGCTTATCTAAAATGACTACCATAACTTAAATTTGCTGTCAGTTCAAAGCGTTTGTCTCAGTCTTTGTGGCAACTACTTTGATCGTAATTTGTAAAATTGACAGTTCTAAACTCAATTTCACCCCTTACTTACAATGGGACCTTGTAAAATTTAGAAAGTAAAATTAATTACTTAGTCTTCTCTGACACTAGTGTCTGTGTTTATATAATGCATTCCTTAGCTCAGGCTCAGTGGTTAGTGAAAGCAAGGAAATTATGTGTCTTTGTTATCCTGAAGATAGCAAAATGGAGTCCGCTCTGTTCTGAGTGACTCTGGCAATATACACTTTTAATTTCTTTCTTAGCACAAAATGTCTGCCGATATAAATATCCTGACAGGTATGTGAGGTAGAGGTTACTCTTGGAGGCCATAAGCTTTCCTAAAGAGATGGGTTTTAAGGCACTTCTTAAACAATTGAAGACTAGGGGAGAGTCTCATGGCGGTAGGCAGACTATTCCATGGGAAGGGAGCCGCCCGTGAGAAGTCCTGCGAGCATAAGTTGGTCGTACAGGTGCGAGCAGCGGACAGGAGAAGGTCACGTGCAGAACGGAGACCGAGAAGGGGTATACTTATGGGTCTGTGAAGAGATATAAGAGGGGCTAGAATTGTTCAGTGCTTTATAGGTATGGGTTAGCCCTTTGACTTAACTCCTATAGGATACAGGAAGCCAATGTAAGGACTGACAGAGGTGTGAGAGGAAAATCAGTCTGGCAGCAGCATTCATTACAGACTGAAGCAGGGCTTTTGGAAGACCAATTAGGAGAGGGTTACAATAATTCATGCAGGAAATGACTACAGTATGGACAAGCTCCTTGGTAGCATCGTGAGTAAGAAAGGGGCAGATGCAGGCTATGTTTTTAAGATGGAATCTGCAGGATTTGGCAACATACTGGATGTGAGGCTCAAAGGGGGGGCCAGAATCAAGTATGACGCCAAGACAGTGCGCTTGCAAGGATGGACTTATATGGATACCGCTAACTTGAAGGGAGAGCGAAAGAGGAGGATCAGTATTAGGAGGAGGGAAGACAAGGAGCTCAGTTTTAGAGAGATTGAGTTTCAGAAAGCATGAGGACATCCAGTCAGAGATGGAAGAAAGGCAAGCAGTGACACATTGCAGGACGGCAGTCCTGTATAAAAGAGGGACTCTTGGCACTCACCCTTACTGTTTCAAAAAATTCAATCTTGCCTGGGTGCAATCCTCAGCGTTTGGCATATAACGAAAATCAATATATAAGGAGCACTCACAGGTCTTCATCCAAAGTCTGGTTTATTCTTTAGTGCAAATTACATGTGCAAATCTTTAAACAATCGATGTTTCGACCCTCACAGGGTCTTCTTCAAGATCAACTAAACAGTGAATCAGCTAAGTATATATACACAACAATAAAGATTAATAACTTACCAACAGGTGTGTGGGAAAGAGCAAAGACCGCCAACTATCCGAAACCTGGATAGTGTACAGGTGGTAGTGGAATCCAAATGAGGTAATAAGTTATGCATTAATAAAATACCCCAGTATGTATAGGAAAACTACATTAAATTAGTAATAATTACAAATTTGGCAATTGTCCTTACCTTATATACCTATATATAAAAAATATATATATATGTGTGTGTGTGTTTATAGAGCTACTCCATACCTATTTTGCTAGATATCTACAGGTTACTGGCTGACCCTCATCTTAACCTTGCTACTTGCATTTTTGTTTCTCTCCATCTTATACTTACCTCTGCTTTTCTGTCACTTGCAGCTGCTTTCTCCTCATATCACTAGACTCAATTTGGTCTGTTTATGAGTAGCGAAATACATTCTGGCTTATTTCAGCAGACAACTTAAAGGCAGCCAAGTGGAAATACAGATTCTGTTGTAATAATATAATTTGCCTTTAGGAATATCTGAATGGATTACATTTTACTAAAACAGCTAAATTGTGACAACAGAATGGCATCCTGCTGCCATTCAGCGGCTGTTTAGCATTTAGTAGATATGCACCAGTAATTGTGAACCCTGATTTATTTTATTTATTATACTGTGGTCATCACAGCATTGTTTATCAGTTATTTAGCTACTCTTCTAACTGAGCTGCTGTTTCCCCAATCACAACTGAGGCAACTTAAAGGGACACTATAGTCACCAGAACAACTACAGCTTATTGAATTTGTTCTGGTGAGTAGAATCATTACCTTCAGGCTTTTTGCTGTAAACACTGTCTTTTCAGAGAAAATGCAGTGTTTACATTACAGCCTAGTGATAACTTCACTGGCCATTCCTCAGATGGCTGTTAGAGATCCTTCCTGGGTCATGGCTGCCTAAAATGCATCCAAACATTCAGTATCTCCTCCCTCTGCATGCAGACACTGAACTTTCCTCATAGAGATTCATTGATTCAATTCATCTCTATGAGGAGATGCTGATTGGCCAAGGCTGTGTTTGAATCATGCTGGCTCTGCCCCTGATCTGCCCCTGATCTGCCTCTTTGTCAGTCTCGGCCAATCCTATGGAGAAGCATTGTGATTGGATCAGACCACCACTTCTGATGATGTCAGCAGACTGCTTGTTTTTCTGAGGCAAACAGCATGCAGAGTTACAGCTTCTGGCTTGAATACAATAAGATTTTACTATATTTATGGAGGCATGAGGGGCCCAGGGGGGCTATATGGTGGTTTTAACACTATAGGGTCAGGAATACATGTTTGTGTTCCTGACCATATAGTGATCCTTTAAAACTAACAGTGAGTGAAACATTTGAGCTTTGATTTAATGCATATTGCAAATTATTGACTTCTTTGCTATATTTTTTCATGTGTGATACTTTTATGTTAGTTTGGTAACTTCATTTATTTATTGCAATCTTATTGCATATTTATTTTATATAGGCATATAGATTGCTTGTTACATTACAACTTCTAAAAGTGAAAGTGGTCTTGGACGCTGGAGTAACCCTTTAAATAGCATATTATCTCATGAGAATGAATGTTCAAATTCAGATGCAAGTCTTTGTCATTAGCCATGATAAGGAATACATCCTACATTATTCAGTTATGATCCATAGCACTAACAATTTATATATTTTGTTTTGTAAATTTCTATATCCTATTTATTCTGTTAAAAACGCTAAGAATTTAATAAACGTATCTACTGTATTTATTTCTTATAGGTGGATCCATAAGAACTATGCAAGAAAGATTTCATATCCATGATACGTTACCAGATTGTGCTTATAATGATAAAACTGAACTCAAGGATTCAAATTACTCATCGCTAATCAAACCAGTGAAAAAACAAAGCACATCTGTAACTAGGATGGGAAAGGAATCTGCCTCGCCTGAAGAAGGAAACCTGACCCAATCGGCTACAGAGACTGAATACATATGTTTTCAAATTAAGGAAGAATCTGCCTCAGACGATGGTGATCTTACAGACACTGACATTTATTCACCCACAGAGCATACATTTGTCCATGTTAAGGAAGAATCTACCTTGTGTGAAGATGATCTCACAGATGACTTTTATACTCCCTCAGAACATATAGAGACATCATATACACCTACTTATATTAAAGCGGAATCAGCCTCCGATGAAGACCGAAATCTGACAGACACAGACGCTTGTGACCCCATATTAAATACGCAGCCAGAATATCATATTAAAGAGGGATCTTCTTCTTGTGAGGAAGGGAATCTCACAGACATTTACACTCCGAAAGAACATACATCTATTCATACAGATAACAAAGAAAAAGAGGAAAAAACTTCATTTCAGAAAAACATCTCTTCCAAAAGGCATCTTACTAAACCATTTTCATGTTCAGACTGTGAGAAAAGTTTTCACTGTAGGTCAAGTTTGGTTAAACATCAAAGAATTCATACAGGAGAGAAAGTCCATTCATGTTCTGACTGTGGGAAATTGTTTACAAGTTCCTCACATCTAATTCAGCATCAGAGAATTCACACCGGAGAGAAACCATTCTCATGTTCTGAGTGTGAGAAATGGTTTAATAATAAATCAAGTCTTGAAAGACATCAGAGGACACACACTGGACATAAGCCATTCTCATGCGCTGATTGTGGAAAATGTTTTAATAGTAAATCAAATCTTGATAGACATCAGGCTACCCACTCAGGACAGAAACCATTTTCATGTTCTGAGTGTGGGAAATGTTTTACACTTAAATCGGGCCTATTTGAACATCAGATAATTCATACAGGAGAAAAAGTACATTCATGTGCTGAGTGTGGAAAATGCTTTGCCCGTTCTTCATATCTTCTAAAGCATCAGAGGATTCACACAGGGGAAAAACCATTTTCATGTTCTGAATGCGGGAAATGTTTTACCTGTTCCTCACATCTAGTAATGCATCAGATGATTCACATAGAAGCAAAACCATTTTCTTGCACTGAATGTGGAAAAGGTTTTAGTTTCAAGTCTAGCCTTGTTGAACATCAGAGGATCCACACAGGTGACAAAATACACTCCTGTGCAGAATGTGGGAAATGTTTTACTCGTTCTGCATACCTTCTGAGGCATCAGAGCACTCACACAGGAGAGAAACCATTTTCTTGTTCAGAATGTGGGAAATGCTTTACCAATATATCGAATCTTGTTACACATCAGAGGATTCACACAGGTGTGAGGCCATACTCCTGCCCAGAATGTGGAAAATGTTTTACTTGTTCCTCATATCTTGTTATGCATCAGAAGACTCATAGAGGAGAGAAACCGTATGCTTGTCGTGACTGTGGAAAATGTTTTAACCGTTCCTCGCATCTTCTAAGGCATCAGATAACTCACACAGGAGAGAAACCATTTTCTTGTGCTGAGTGCGGGAAATGTTTTACTGATAAATCAGATCTTGCTAAACATGAGATGATTCACACAGGAGAAAAACCGTTCTCGTGTTCTGAGTGTGGCAAATGTTTTACTCTTAAATCAGGTCTTACTGAACATCAACGAATTCATACAAGGCTATTTTCCTGTGCAGATTGTGGGAAAGGTTTTACCCGTTCCTCATATCTTGTTAAACACCAGAAAAAGTCACACATTAAAGAAAGTGTTGTCATTTCCTGAAAAAGGGAAAGCTTTTAATACCAGATTTTAAATGTACAACATTGTTCTGAAGGCATACCTTATTATACCCAAGTGTTACCTTGTCCATTTTAACCAGAGTAAGTTAAGTTTGAAGAATTGTCTTTTCTGCAGTAGTCGTCTTCTCTATAAGATGGACTATGGCACCCATTTAGGTACTCTGTGTGACCAATTCATCTGTAAATGTATACCTGACTACGGGATAGTCCTTGAACGGTGTGCCCTCTGATACTTCCAAGGCCATCCATAGAGCTATCATGTCTGGAGATAAATCAAGCTACCAAGCACATACCGGCTAACTGACTTTGTAATGAGTCAGTTCTCAGAATGCAGATACTGACTGGGTACCTCAGTTGAAGGATGCTCCTAGCACTTCCTGAGGGCTCCAAGCACTCCAGCAGACACCATAACCACTGTAGACTCCTTCAGCAAGCAAGACAGGAACAAGCTCTTAGTAGTGATATAGCAAGAGAGTCTGACTGGCATAGCAATCCCTTGTAGCAGATTCCCCCAATAAGTGACGGCACTCCAAATTGAGGGTGAAGTAGAACTGAACTTTTATTCAAACACTCTGTTTTTATGCCCATTCTACAAACATAGTACCGTCCACAGGATTTTGAAGTACAACCAATCAATACGTACAATACACTCACACTCCTGTGATATAATTACTGAACACAGTGGGCTAATGTAATTATCACAGGCAGGAAAATACAGTTTTACACAATATTTATAACTCCAAAAGTATACATCACATTCACATAAATTTTCAGAATCCGCATACTCCAAATACAAACATACGTCAAAATCATACAAATTGGTCCAGTGGGTCAAAAGTTAGTTGGAAGTCCCTTTGTGACTGACTGCAAGCATGGCTTGGGTGTGGTAAGCCAATTATCTCCAGCATACAGAAAATAGCTCTATTCACAACAACCGTAAAAACACATAAAAATACATAATTCCTATTATATTGAACAGAACCCCCACATTCAACCTATCCCCAGATAGCTTGGATCCGAACGCTCAATATATCCGAACAGCGCTCAGATCCCAGAAACAGAATAAAATCGCCATGGGGTTTCATTTAAAGGGCCAGAACAGTCTTTTAAAAGTTAATAAGCCCCAAGTGTTTTTAAAGTGCCCAATCTCCCAGGGGCCATAGTCCCAAGGCATGAGGCTGGCAAACAGTCCCCTCCAAAAACTAGTGGCGAGGTCCCTTTCGCCACATATGGTATTTTGTGTGATTGTATCATGCTGCTCTTTGTATGTAAATTCAAATGTACAGTGTTTGTATATGTTAGTGGCATTTCGCAGGACAAGGTGCAGCCAGATTCAACTTGAGTTCCTGGTGGTGAACATACAGTTAAAGCCCAAAACTATCACTGTCAAACATTGCATTCTAGTAATGAGCATTATCACTCATGTTGCTCAAACTGATTACTGATTTATCTAGTAGTTTAGGTAGCCATGCCTGATGTATACAACATGCTGTGTAATTTTAGAAATAAATATGTATGTATACTGTGACGCTGCTTTAATGAAAATATCATGAATTGTATTTTAAGTTGCAGGTTTTTCTGAATGCACATTATATATTGATGTTTTCGGATTTCTGTTTTGCTCAGGTGCTTCTGAATGCTGTACCCATCTAATAATAGTGTTGCTTGTTACATTACTAAATCTTAATTAGAACATATAGTCAGTAGCGTTCCTTTTTGCTTCCACAATGTAACACGTACCTTTCTATTAGTAAAACTGCTGCAGTTCAGTTTTTACATTTAACGTCATAGTCCAACTATTATTGGAAGACGTGTGCGTCTGTGCGCAAACTTCAAGAGTGAGTCTCTTGACCTGTATAGCCGCAGGGTAGGTCAGCAGAGACATTAGTCCAATCTCTAGAAAAGTCATCAGCTCAACAACCCAATGGCTACGGATCTCTGTGGTGGTCATGTAAGATCCCTGGTTGGGAAATGATGTAAAAGGAAAATAATCAAAAATGTATGCTTTTATGTATAGCAGAGCTTGTCAAATTAATTTGTATTGTATGCAAGTATTGCATTCTATGTAGATGTGAATAGAAATGTAAATTGGTGTTGCAGGTGTTGTGATCTTCTTAGAGTTTGGTAAAGCATTTGATCTAGTTCTACACAGGTGCTTACTGTACAAGTTTATAAAAAGGTTTACATGAAAAGCCTTGTGTGTGTGTGGGGAAAAAAGTTAACGTTATAGAGCCCCCCCAAAAACTTCTAAAATAAGTAAACACTAGATCAAAAACATCATGCAGGCTGAGTCAGTCACATCAAGGGAAGCTGTGACTTGGGCTGAATAAACAGAAACAAATGTGATTTAACTCCTACATGTCAGAAAAATAAGCAGACTGCAGGGGCATGGTTTATATACCTAAACTACTTCATTAACCCCTTAAGGGCACATGACATGTGTGACAAGTCATGATTCCATTTTATTCCAGAAGTTTGGTCCTTAAGGGGTTAAGCTAAAGTTGTTTTCATGCCTATAATACCTCTTTAATGATATGGACATCAAAAGTCATCTGTCTCTGTTTGCAGATAGCAAAGTACTGGGAAAGGCAATACAGAATGAGCAGGATATCCATCGCTGAAGAGGTATTTGGATGTTAGGGGATTGGGAACTGGTGGCAAATGAGTTTCAATATAAATGTACAGAATTTTCTGAAGACTTACTAGCTATGGGGGGCCAGTAATAGGCTAAGAGCATCATCTGACACTCAGCTTATTGCTGTTCCGGAAGCCAGACTGGTGCCTGGAGGACTCCACTTAAAGGACCAATATAGGGACCCAAACCACTTCATCTCATCTTTACCAGAAGTGATCTGGGTGCAGTGTCCCTGTCCCCCTTAGCCCTGCATCTAAAACATTGCAGTTTCAGAAAAACTGCACTGTTTATATTGCAGGGTTAAGAATACTTCTAGTGGCTGCCTACCAGTCAACAACTAGAGTCGCTTACTGCGGTTTCGTGGACGATGCTGGAAGTTGCATGAGGACATCCAGCATCTTCAAATCCCCCATAGGAAAACATTGATCAAATTAATGCACATACACCGTTCCCCGTTCATGCACATTAGGTTTCTTGTTGGCGATGATCACGAACTTCAGCATTGGAATAAGGTAAGTGACAGAAAACACTTTGAGTGCCAGAAAGGGGGTGGGGGGGAGGGGAGGAGGAGAGAGAGGAATACGTTAGTGTTAGTCATACAGCTTTGTATTCCTAACAATGTAGTGTGCCTTTAAGTACTAAACTGTTGAAAAATGGTTTAATACATGAAGCTATGTGAGGCACTAGAAGGCTCCGGGTACCATAACCTCTTTTAATTTTTTAAACAATGGAGGAGGGCCCCAGCAAGACACTATAATGGTAAAAAGAAATGCATATGGTTTTTGAACATTGCAGTGTTCCTCTAATAGGATAATCTCCCTTCTTCCGAGACAAAATTATCCCACCTATGTAGCTGCCAGTATGACAGCCACTAGAGGCATATTTTACCCTTCATGGTAAATAGTACCCTTTCTGCAAAACTACACACAGACCACACCATTTAACTGAAGTGGGATGGATGACTTCAGTGGTCATTCAACTACATATACAAACAGGACTGGCGCTACCATAAGGTGGCATATGTAGCCGCCCAAGGGCTCACCAACCCGAGGTGTGAAGAGATGTCCGAGTAACTGGCATGAGCACAGAGAACCCCTTTCCCGCCAGTCATTCTCTGTAAACATGCTCAACTTACTAATTCACCGTTTAGTTTGCTTCCAGCTGTGTAACAGAAAAAAAGGTGTTCAGGGCAGCTTCAACTGGCTAGCAACACTTGGTGGTACCCCTGTTTAACGATGATAAGAAACAAAAGGTGAGAGTTTATATATGAGCCTGTGTATGTGTGTTAGAGCCAATGTGTGTTTGGTATGAGCCATTGAGTGAGTGTGTGATACAAGGAAGTTAGAGACCACAAACGTTGGTATAAAGTTACAAAAACATGAAATGAGTAAAAAACAGGATACAATATGCAAAAAGGGAAAAGAAACAAAAAAAGATGGGAAAAGGGGAAAAAGAAGGAATAACAGACAGACAGGTGAAGGTGAATTTTGGGGGCAGCTAAATTAGTCTTCGCCTGTGTAGACATAAATGCATGCACCAGCCTTGTCTACAAATAAAAGTGTGCCAAAATCACTTGTGACGGGGGTTAACTAGCCCTCAGCAGAAAAGTGCAAAACATCTGTCAAGCAGAAACGCTGCAAATACAGACGTCTATTACCATGACCACTTCTAAAAGCATAAGTGGTCATGGTGGTTGGAGTAACACTTTTTAAATGTCAATATTAAGTCAATGGTAGCCAACCTTTTTGCAGCCTTGAGCCAAAGCAAGAAGTTGAAGTTGTATGTGGGCTGGATGTGTTATTGCCCATGTGCATGCACAGTTTGTGGTATCGTGTATATTTTATATATGTGTATGTGGTGTGTGTATTTGGTTTGAATATGGGGGCTGATTGTGTGTGCATGTGTTGGGTGTGATGTCAATGGTGTTGTGTCGGGTGCTGTTTGTAGTTTTTGTTTGTGGATGAGGCTTCTGGGGGGGGGAGGGCTGTGTGTGTATGACTCCCACATGCTCCTAGACAGAGACACACACAGGTATGCATGCCAGACACATTCATGAAATACACACACACGGACATCAATACACACTACTAGACGCACATTCGACTAAATACACACTGCCAAGCATTCATCTCAATACACACTGCCAGTCATACAAACTTTCACACACAAACACACTACTACACACACATTTACAATAATGCTATCCTCTTTTTTTGTTTACCATTTAGCAGCACGTGGGCTGGTCAAGCACCGGCTTGCTATTACAGCCTGTCCTACTGTGTGGTTACACTTAACAAGTGTGGGGAGGAGAGTGACTACAAAAGTGACTGGCGGAATGCCCCTCACTGCTCGCTATAATCACTACTTTTAGAAATTTGAAGGTGCAGAAGTTGAGGAGGTGAGCAACAAAATGACACTCACTGCATGGGCCACTGACCCCTATTTGTCCAATGTCAGATTCCTGCTGTCACATTCTACATCTTTCTTTGTCTCCTATGGTTAGTTTGTCTTTGCCATCCCCTTCAGAGATAGAGTTAAACCTAATATGTCTTTAGGCACAGACATGTTATGCTGCTAACCCACTCTTTGATTAACCATTCTCTTTACTTTAGTCAAACATGTAGCATTATACGTATAACCGAAAGGGAACACCAGAAATAAATCTGGGTGAGAGCTGGAGGGTAGGAAGAGATACAGTAGAAATGACATAATATGGCAACCCGTGCCCAAGTGATGTGTGGATAAAGAAAGGAACTGCGCATCATCCAAAGTATGCAACTAACCTGTAAAACGTGGGAGTGTTATTGTTTGCGTATGTATGGCTTACTCTGAGTCCAGCTCACTTTTTTTTTTTTATTGATAAAAAGGCAGCAGAAAATAAACATATATTCTTCTAAGATCCAACTAAATGTTTCAAACATTATTAACAAGCACATTCTAGCAGCATAGTAATCCGAAAATATATATAAAGCAATCCTTTTCAGAGAAAAAAAGAAAAACACTTTGGAAATACAATT